TGCATGCATAAACTAAATGAGCAACCAAATAAAATAAAAACATTAAGTTTAGAGGTTACTCATTCCTTTTTCATGTGTGGCTAGAGCATCTTGAATATCATCATCTTCATCACCATTGCTCCCATACACCTACAAGAGACATTTAAGTAGATATTGGTATCCAAATTGCTTTGGATCCTTGAACATTAGTTTCAATGCCTCTTGTTTCTTTTGGAACCCATACTTGTCTAATTTTAAATCGTTTTTCTTTCTTTAAAGGACAAGTATGTTCCTTATGACCATGATAATGACAATATGAACATATTGTCATTATTGAACTAGATGGATTATTTAAAATGATATCTTTTTCTTTTGTTAAACATTCAAGCTTAACTTTCAAATCGAAAATTTTCTTTTTCAATACTTTCAAATTTCATTTTTGAAAGCTCTAAATCCTTCTTCAAGATTTCATTTTGATTTTCAAAATCCATTTTCGTTTCTAGAAGAAGTTTGTTTAATTTGAAAATTTCTTTTTCAAAGTTTTTCAGATTTTATTTTTGAAAACTCTAACTCCTTTCTCAACATTTCATTTTGATTTTCCAAGTTTGTTTTAGCTTTCAAAAGAAGATCATTTTAGCAATAAATTTAGAAATCAATTTATTGTATTTGGAGTTCATGGTCTTAAACTCCAAAAATAATTCATCATAAGCATCTTGTAACTCATTAAAAGATTTTGAATTTAATCTATTTGAGTTAGAAGATACATTTGACTCTGTGAGAGCTAATAGAGACATCACCTTTATTGGTTCTTCTTCTTCATTGTCTCTATAGATCTCTTCAAGCTTATCCCACATCTCCTTGGCATTTGAACAAGAAGAAATTTCTTTATAGACATTAGGATCAATTGCACAACACAACATGTGCCTAACCTTTGTATTTTATTGAGCTTTCTTACGTTCTTGATCACTCCACTTCTTTGTCTTCTTTGTAGGAGAAGAATATCATTTATCGATCATCATCCAAGTTTCCATATCAAATGCTTGGATAAATATCATCATAAGCTTCTTCTAATGACGATAATTTATTATATTGAAGTGTGGAGGCACGTCAATTGGTCTGGATTCTTCCATGGAGAATGAACTGGAAGTGGACGCCATCTTTATCGATTTAACTCTTTCCTGATCTACTCAAGAGGCGGTTAAACCTTCAAATAAATCAAGCTCTGATTCCAATTGTTGAGTTAATCAATCGATGGAATTGGCCAAGAGGGGGTGAATTGGCAATAAAAATTTTGGTGGAAGCTTTTGCAGGAAATTGAAAATATTTGCACAACGATTTAGAGTGGTTCGATTTTCTCAACCAAAGTCTACGTCCACTACCTTAGCTATCCACACTAAGGATTTTCCAACAAATTCACTAATTTGTTATTTCTTTTGAGGACAAAAAGTAACCTTACAACTTCCTCAAGAATTATACCTCAAATTCTTGAGCATATTTTTTTTCAAAGAGAAATACACAAATTTGCAAACTTACAAGGAAAAGCTCACAAGGTAGATTGTTTGTACAATTCTAGAACAAATAAAGAACACTCAAGGATAAATACAATAAAGCACAAATGGTGTTCTTGAAAGCACAATGAATTTTGAATGAAAAATAGGCTTGAAGTGCTCAAACAATGAGTTTGATGCTTTCTCTTTGATTCTCTCTCAATTCTTGATAATTGTTATTGATCAATGGCTTCTAAACTTGTTTATAAACTCCTTCAATTGATTCTGAATGTTATGGATGATTAGTGGAGTTAATGGAGCAGTTTTAGTGTGAAATCAATTAATAAAACAGCTTGGAGCGTGGGGGGAATCGATACCCCCTCATAGGGAATCAGTTCCCTAAGTGTAAAATTCAAATATTTTGACCGTTGATCAGGGAGAATCGGTACCCCATTGGGGGGAATTGGTTCCCTCGGAGCATTCTGTTTTTCTCAGAGTCAAACCATTCAGGGGGAATCGGTACCCTCTTGGGGGGGAATCGATTCCCTATGAGCAATCTGGAATTTTTGGCTTGAAACGGTTCGAAATACTTTATAAAATTGTTTTGAAATTATTTTAAGATTAAAACTTAATTTTACGCTTGAGTAAGGATTAAAAATGACATTTGAAAGATTTGGAGTAATATTTTGATATTCGAATAAATATATCGAATATACTCAGAAAATCTTTTGGAAAATCTTAAAATTCATTTAACTTAATTTGTTATATCGAAATATCAAAATGTTTTCAACATATACCCTTTCTATATTCTGGAATAAATCTCTAAAAATGGTATTGATACTTATACATTGGTATCGATACCCCTGGTATCGATGCTACTCCTTCGGTATCGATACTCTTTTAAGAATTTATCAACTTTTACCTTATGATATCGATATTGTTCATCCAATAACGATACTCAAACCTAGATATCACCTATTTTTGCTTTGGAGTATCGGTACTTTTCATCTAGTACCGATACCTCTTGCCCATAACTTACTCGTTTCAATTTGAAATTTGACCAAAACTTACTTAAACCCCACTATTTTAACTCCTTTCATGCTATTAAACTCAACTATACTTATCAAGAATAATTTATATCACTTCCATATACTTAAACATTCAAAATCCCACATAATCACTTGAAATTAAAAATCTTACCAAATATTCAACTTTGTTATTAATCCTTTTTAACCTCTTAAACCTCTTATTCTGACTGATGACAAGTCAAATATGACTTCAAAATCCATTTACTAACTCTTTCTCATAAATTCACTCAAAAACCCTTTTTATTCAATCATTCATAACTTCTTCATCTTTTAGTTTCTACTTCTCTTTAAGCTTTCTCAATCTTTCTTGACACTCCAATAACCAAAACCAATCATAATTTACAAGAAATAACCAACTGAAAGGTTTCTTACATTAGCTAAGGAGTCACGGTGGAGAGGAGGAAGAAAGATGAAGAAAATTCTGGATTTCTTTTAACTCATCAATCCTTTTACACGTGGATATATAATATCCAAGAAAGAATTTTTAATTCATTTCCTTGTCTAATGACTATTATGCCCTTCCATCTTTCAATCTTTATTTACCAATCCTACATAACAAAATTTTCAATTAAGTCCCTAAACTTTTCAATTTATTTAATTTGATCACAAAATTTTAAAATCTTACAATTTGGTCCCTAGCCCGGTGTTTGGGATGTTATATTAATAGAATGTGTAATTAATGAGGACCAAATGTGTAATTGTATAAATTTTATTAACTGCATAATCTCATTCCGTTAATATTTAACGACAGATGGCTTGATGGACAATATTTAAATAGTTAGGTGACCTAATTGATCAAATTGAAAAATCGATAGTTAAAGTAAAAGGGGTAAATAATTAGGTGGTCAATGTTATATTTTACCATAAAAACTAATGTTTATAAATATTGTATTTAAATTAAATTTGGATTTTAACTAATTTATAATTACACTTTTAATACTTTACAATTTAATGTTTATAAATTAATTTAATGATGCTCATCGTTAACGGTGATTATCCAAATTCAACGAGCGTCGTAGAATTTTCCAACTAAAAATGTAAAAGCAAGTGTATTAAGTATTTTCTATCAGTGTTTAACTAGGTTTTTATATGTTAATTTTTTTAACATATATAATGAACGCCGGTTGCATTTAAATTTTGGAAATATTTGAGCGGAAGCAAAAAAATTTAAAAAAAAGTAAGGGTTGAAAATTTATTTTGAGATGTAAATTATTTATTATAGTATACGTGGAATTCGTCGTACCATAATGACAAATTTTATAAAATATATAGAAAAATATAACTCGTAACGTGGAATTGATAAAAAATTATATGAAATCCTTATAAGGAAATGATAAGTTTCAATTATTTATTATATTTTACAAAGCTCGTCATGATGACATGACGAGTTTAAAAAAACATTGTAGTAAATGATTTAGATCCAAATTAATTTTTCAATACCTATATTTTCCTAATATTTTTTTATGTTTGGACCCTAAACTTTTAAATGTTTCAATTTTATCCTTAACTATGGCTATCATTCTAAATTAATCCTCAAACTTTTAAGCATTTCAATTTCATTCCTAAACTATAACTTCATTCTAAATTGATCCTCAAACTTTTTGAACATTCCAATTTTATTCAAATTATATGTATATACTAATCACACCCCTTGTTAATAAAATCGTTAGGCCATGTTATATTATTATATGTTTGAAAAAAAACAAAATTTTGGTTAAACTATGGTTGAAATTAATTATATATTTGGATGAATTTGGGAATAGAATTGGACAATTCAAAAGTTTGGGCATCAATTTAGAAATAGTGTAATAGTTTAGGAATGAAATTAGAATATTTAAAAATTTAAAGATTAATTTAAGATGAAAGCCATAATTTAAAGATAAAATTGAAATATTCAAAAGTTTAAGGATGAATTTAAATAATAAACGTATAATTTACTCAAAAGAATATCACATTGCATTAGGCCGGCGAGAAATATAAGAAAATAGTGACAGGGAAAAAGCCGATCCGAGTGAGCAGGGTGTTGTCACGTGCGAACGTCATGTCGGCAAAAATAAAATTAAAAATAAAAAAACTTAATAATCAAGCTAAGTTTTACAGACGTGGACGGATGCATCACCGTTATTAATGAAAAGACCCTCCTCTCCTCATTTTATTATGATTCTTGAGTTGAAGACACGCAAAAGGGGCAGTGGCCTGAGTACAGGTGGCATTCGAGCTGGACTTTTGAACAACCAAGATCGAGGATCAAGCGACACGTGGGATAATCAAAGTTGACCACAGGCTGACTAATATAAAAGTTTAAGTTTCTATTTTACTATAATTTTTTTAAATAAAATAATTACCAAAAGTGAAGATATTAATTAATGAATGCAATATATATATATATATGGAGCATCGAAGAAGAAGGGGGCGGTTATGTCTAAGGCGGTTTGAATCTATTTATTCTTGAGACGGAAACAAAGAAAACATTTGCTTCTATTTGGTTGGATTCTAGAAATATAAAAAGGGTTTTCTCTTTGGTGATCAGGGAAGTTTTTACAAGATTCATCTGGCCTCTTCTTCTTCATCTGAGAGAAATATGGGGTGGCATACTTGTCTTGATGAATATGAGAAGCTTGTGATAAGGATGACTACTCCCAGGTTTTTCATCTTCGTCTCTTCCGTACAATTCAAACCACAAGAAATTCCAAAATTTTCAATAATTTTTAGTTTTCTCTTTCTTCATAATTCTCCAGAAACTCCTGAAATTTGATATTTTCTAATAACAGGGTGGTGATTGACAATGCCGTTTGCCCAACTGCGACTCTGGTCAAGGTTAGCTACCACGAAACCTCTCTAATAGGAACGCACCGCCCTAACCGTTTCTTTTTTTATATTATTGCCCGGAATATTGACTTTAATGTTTCTCCTGCTTTCGTTTTTTTTTTCCAAAAGCCTTTGACTCTTTCTTGCTTCCTGGACTCATTTTCTCAGGTTGACAGTGCTAGAAGACACGGGATTTTGTTGGAAGCTGTTCAGGTTCTAGCAGATCTGAATCTTTCAATTAAAAAGGCTTACGTTTCATCTGATGGCCAGTGGTTCATGGATGGTAAAACTGCTTCTACTTCAAAAACATTTGATTTTTCATTTGAATTTTACTGTTTCTAACATTCCATTTTTTTTTGGGGGGGGGGGGGGGTTTTGCAGTTTTCCATGTGACTGATTTAAACGGAAACAAATTAACTGATGAGAGCGTTATCAGTTGCATTGAGCAGGTAGTTCTTGCAGATGATTTTATTTTAATATCAAAGCTCTCTTTTAATGGCATAATTCGCCATAACACTCATCTTTGTGTTGCTTACAGTCCCTTGAGACCACTGATCCTGATAGAAGCCACAAGTTTGATGGTCTAACAGCGTTAGAATTGAATGGGACAGATAGAGTTGGTCTTTTATCAGAAGTATTTGCAGTTTTATCTGATCTACAATGCGATGTGGTAGATGCTAAAGTATGGACTCACAATGGTCGGGTTGCTTCTTTGATTTATGTAAAGGACCGAAATTCAGGGTCTCCGATCGAGGACTCACAACAAATCGACCGAATTGAAGCGCGTTTAAGGAATCTTTTGAAAGGAGACAATGATATTCGTAGCGCGAAAACTTCAGTTTCTATGGCTGTAACACACACCGAGAGAAGGTTGCATCAAATGATGTTTGCAGATCGTGACTATGAGAGGAAGCCTATTCTGCAACACAAGGTAGATTCACCTGTGGTGGTCACTGTGCAAAATTGGGCTGAAAAGGGTTATTCGGTTGTGAATGTTCAGTGCAAGGATAGAACAAAGCTTCTGTTCGATGTCGTTTGCACGCTGACCGATATGCAATATGTTGTGTTTCATGCAACCATCAACACAGCTGTGGATAAAGCATATCTGGTACTTAATTGTTCCATCACTAGTCAATCTTTAAGATTTTAGTTACATGATTTTGATTTAAACTTGTTTACTCTTGTAGGAATTTTATATTAGGCACACAGATGGATCTCCAATTAGTTCAGAACCTGAAAGACACCGTGTGATTCAGTGCTTGCAAGCTGCAGTTGAAAGAAGAGCATCTGAGGTACATTTCTATAACTCATTTTTCTATTCGACTATTGAATCTCTATCTAACATTCGAAACACTTGCATTTGCTTTCTGATTTCAGGGCATATGGCTGGAGTTATGCACATCAGATAGGCAGGGTCTATTAGCAGATGTGACCCGAACGTTTAGAGAGAACGGTCTTAACGTGACGAGGGCCGAAATATCAACCATGATGGACATGGCTTTAAACGTGTTTTACGTAACCGATGCAATCGGGAACGTAGCAGACCCCAAAATCATTGAAGCTGTAAGACAAAAGATAGGTTTAGGGAACTTAAATGTGAAGGGATTGCCATTGATATACCATGAAAAGGCAGAAAGGGAAGAGAAAGCTGTAGGTGTAGGTGGGGCAGTTTTATCACTTGGGAACATCGTTAGAAGGAATCTCTACAATTTGGGGTTGATTAAATCTTATTCTTGAAGTGGAAACCATGGGTATTCTGAGTGACAAATGGCATATTCTTTGCTTTTCAGGTTTTATTTGGCATGTGTACATATGAAAAAGATAGAAAAAAAGGTGGAATTTGGTGATAGTAGTTGTTATAGGTGGGTTTGGTTGTTTATTGGAGAAGATTTTGGGAAAGAGGAAAGCTTTGTTTGGGAGGGAAGAATTCGAATGGGAATGAAAAGAAAGTTGGTGGCTGGCAGATTGAATATCAACATAATTATTATACAATTTTTTGTTAATAAATTTCTAAATATATATTAATTAATCGATTATAATGGTTGGCTACCTAAATTTCTACTTTTTCTCCAATTTTAACGAAAAGAGTTGTATGTTTAAATTAGTACTTTGAGGTTGTAGTCTCGGTGGTAGGTAATTTTTTATTAGAGGTTCTATATCGTCTATAGGTAATATGTATATTGTTAATAAATTTCAAAGTTTTGAATAATATTTAAATTTCTAAATATATATTATTTTATAAGCATCTTAAATTTAAAAAGAAGTTAAAGTAATAATAGTGTCAAATCTAATAGAAATTTTAATAATTAATTTAGGAAAAAAATACAAATGATTTTTAATTATAGAATATTATTTTATTGAGTCATTCAATTATTAAAAAATCATTAAATGAGTTACTAACTATATGGGTATTATTTTGGCGAATATCTTGATTATTAAAAATTATTAAATGATTATCTGATTATTAATTAAATTTTAAAATTATCATTTAAAAAAAATTAGGACAATTTAAGTTAGATTTTAACTTGTTGATTAAGATAAAATCTGATTTTATAATCTTAAATGATTGTTATAATTTAATCAATACGTTAACATTAGCTTAGATGATCATTAATTTTTTAATAGAAAAAAAAGAATTTGGAACATAATGAATTGTCAAGTGATCAACAAAGCAACAACATATTTTAGATTCAACAAAACAATATTTTATAATCGAAGATTATTTATATATTTTATCTTTTAATTTATTATTTATATCCATATATAATATTGTAAAGTTCATGTTTTTCTAGTTGATATTGTCCAGCAATTGATAATTTTAATTGCGGTAATTTATTATAAGGTCTACAACAATTAATAACTCTGTGATGGATGAATAAATGAAACGGTTTGATCCCTAAAACCATGCCTCTCAATATATATAATATATAAAATCTATTGAACTCCGTCAAACTATATCAATTTCACTGAAAGTTTATGTAATTTTTTTATAAAAAATATCGTAACAATAAATAAATAAAATTAGGGACATTATTTTTGCTTCTATAATATCTGACCTGGATTAGTTAATCAATAGATTAGATACAAATAATTAATTCATATAAATAAAATGAATATTTTAAAAATTAAAATATTTTAACATTCTCTTATTTCATATTTTCTTCTAAAGGCTATTGGTAAATTTATATGTATCATATAATAAGTTAGTGTATAAAATACATTTATTTTTGTTTACAAAAGGTGATGCGTATCATCTTTTGGTAATATCGTCGTATGATCAGAATATATTTGGTTAAAAGGAGAAATAATAGTTTGTTATGTGCTTTTTGCACGGCTCAGTAGGGTGAAACAATAGATTTTTTTAAGTAATATTAAGAGTTCGAATCCTAATAATTGTGAACGAAGCAAATTGAGTTGAGAGAGTCGCTCTTGCCTCTGCATTACCCGATTCGAATTTGTTGATAAATAGATTAAATATCAATAGTTATAAAAATATATATTTGGTTAATTAATTATTGTTGAATGTAATAATGCAATATATGACGTTTATATAAAATGAAGCATAAAAATGTACCAAAAAGTATACATTGGAGTGGGATCATTTCGAATGGCTACTTTCTAATAAAAATTACAAAAATTGTTTATTTTGCATATATGAACTAACATTAATTCGAATCCTGAAAAAGATTCTCCCACACGTGAGAGATTCCAAGATTCACATTTTTATTTTCTCGTAGTGGGACTTTAATTGTGCAAACTAGGATTATATACAACGGTGAGTTATTCGAGTTTGACTCAGTTAAAATTTAGTTAACACTCAAATTCAATAGACTCGATTTGAATTCATAACGAGCCGAAACAAGTTACTTAATACATGATTTGAAAAATTCGCGAGCAACTCGAAAAAATTAACATTTTAAAATTTTAAATTAAATTATTGATAATATTAACATTTATATGTTGTTATTTTTTAAAAAATACAATACAAGGCTTTAATATACTTAAGGTTCATGTTTAAAATCGAGTTTGAACTTCAATCGAGCTAAGTTTAAGAATATTTTAATATCAAATTTTTTCGAGTTCAGTTTCAATTTTTGATTTCGAGTTGAACTTGAAAATTTTAAATTTGTTAGATTTTGAGTCGAGCTTTAATTTATAATTTGGATTCAAACTTGATAATTTTAAATTTACGAATTTTCAAATTATATCAAACATAACTTTAAATTTTTTGAATCGAATCGAATTTCACAATACTAAATCTCAACTCGAGTTATTTACTGTCCTAGTGCAAGCCAGTAGTGTTATAAGATATTGCAGGCCGTGCTTCTCTCTATTGGGCATGTCAGAGAAAAGACGGGAAATGACATTGTTGTAATAAAGTTGTAATCAAATTAACAAATTAGTCAATATCTTGTTATCTGATTTGACAAGTATTCGAGTATTTAACTGTCATACTTTATAGGGTTAATTATCTTATTTATGTATAAAATATACCCAATTTTCAATTTCATATATAATATTTAAAAATTATCGATTTCATACATGAAATGTTATACAATTAATATGTTCACTCATTTCTATCATTGAAGGTGACGTAGAACCCTTAACAAGATGTCACGTGGCACTTTAGAAATGGGTGACGGGCATGCCACGAGCCACGTGACACAAATTTAAAGTGTCATGTTATATTCCGTGACGGAAATTGGTGAACCTATTAACGGTAGTAAACATCATGTATGAAACTGATAATTGAATATACTTTATGTAGAGATAATTAACCCTAATTTATAATATAAATTGACTTTTTGATATTTGAAAACTTTGGATACCTAATATTTCAAGTATACAAAAGTACAAAAATTAGATTATGAACTCCCCTAATGCAAAGTGGCCATTTCTAGATGTCAATTAGCATCTAAATTCATGTTAGATTGATTTCGTCTTTTATTCATGTTAGAAGTGGCCATTATTTATGGATTCATTTTACATCAATTAATCATTAAAAAAGATCTTACATCAATTAAATTGTCCAAATTGAGGGGGGGGGGTTGTTCAAAATTTGAAATATTTTGTCTTTTCTTTTGATAAAAAGAAGCAATTGAATTAAAAATGGAAGATATTTTTTTAAAACAGTCTTTTATGTTGTCTTTTATAGTTTATATTGTTTGTATCGTTCTCTTTACCATTTATTACGACGACTGATTAATTAAGATGTGGCTAAAACCCAACGCATTCTCATTAAAAAAAACAGTAGACAATAACTATAATAAAAACAAATCTAATATTTTTATTGTTTTGAAAGACAAACCAAATATTTTAAATGCAATTTATGTTTTTAAACCATATAATTACCCCCTTTTCCTTTTGTAGTAAAGATTCTCTATTATTTTATTTTATGCTTTAATTTGTTTATGGCTTTTCCTTTGGATTAGATCCATCGTATTCATACAGCTTTCAACCTCTTGTTTATATTCCACGTCGTATGAAAGAAACCATCTTGCATAAAAGTAGATTCTTGGCCTCACTTTGTTAATTAAACTATCTCGATATATTACAATATAAATGGCACATCTCATACAACATGAGAAAATACATAAATATAAAACGTTAAAATAGCATACCTATTTTCTCTTTGATCATTTTAACTTCGCATTTTAGTTTTTGATTAAAATAACCCGTGTTAGATGAAAATCGTATGTTGACTAACAATTAACATATGAAATTTTTATATGTACTTAATTGTTGACAGTCTTGATCATTTTAACTTCGCATTTTAGTTTTTGATTAAAATAACCCGTGTTAGATGAAAATCGTATGTTGACTAACAATTAACATATGAAATTTTTATATGTACTTAATTATTGACATGTCTTATCATCAAATTAGGTGACGTGATACTTTATTACTTTAAGTGATATGATATATATTACATCATCACCTTAGATGACATAACATATATATTATAAATTATTTTCAGTGACGTGACATGTCAATAATTTAACACATGTGAAAATCCAATACCAACAATATGCGTTAAAATTAGTCAATTGACAATTTATATCCATCATGAATCATTATAACCAAAAATTAAAATATTGAAACATTATACCAAATATTTACTAAAAGAAAGTCATACGGTCATTAGCCTGCAACTCTGCCAATTTCAATGGTAGACAAGTAGGAAATTCCTGTTAAGAAATAACTTGATCATATGGATACAATTGTGGTACTTTTACTGTGCGACAACCTAATTTAAGACTAAAAACAATGATTTTGGGGTGCACCAAAAAATGTAAAAAAATCATAATATTTGAGGTTGAGCGCAACTTGAAATGTTACATTTTATTAACGTTTTCAACTGAACCTAAAATGTAACAAAGAATGTAACATTTTAGGTTGTGTTCAACCTAAAATGTTATAATTTTTATCACATATTCGGTTGTACCCAAAATTACCGTTTTTAACTTTAAATTATGTTGTCGTTCTTTAGACTTCACCTTGTATAGTAGTTATTTATTAAATGAATATGGAGCAGAAGCCGGTTCATTGTAATTTCTTGTAAGAAAATAGGGTCAGCAACCATTCTGCTACTATTATCAGCTATAATAATCCAAAACTAATGCCATATCAATTCTTTGTTAATACTTGCCTGACCAAACAAGGGGCGTTGTTCTTTAGGGAATCTTGACTCTTAACAAAAAAAAAAGTGTTGGTTGTTTTGTATTTGTAGGATGCTTGCCTTTGACATTTTCTACTTGTAATGGTATTTCGGACATTGTTAAATAATCCCAGCTGATGCAAGCTCCAACATACAACAAGGTTCAATTAATGGAATGTCTCATCCAAAGATGCTTTTAATCAAACAAGTAGATGTTGGAGGAAAATAAATTAAGGTTCTAGACCAAAGCTTTTGGATTATGCTGTTATATTTGCTACTTGTCCAATGGAGTTCACGTCATTATTCATATGTCATG